CCCCCCCCCCCCCCCCCGTAAACATGGGAAGAAAATTCGGGACCGTAGAATCATCCGTTTAATGAAGGGTGTTCGCTGAATAACGTTTTTCTCTCTCGTAAATATAAAAAGAAAATTAATGAAGGGTGTTCGCTGAATAACGTTTTTCTCTCTCGTAAATATAAAAAGAAAATTAATGAAGGGTGTTCGCTGAATAACGGTGTTTTCTCTCTCGTGAACTATATAAAAAGCAAATTACGAGACCGTGCACGTAGCTGTCCGTTTAATGAAGGGTGTCACTGGATAATGTTTTCTCTCTTGTAAATATAAAAAGAAAATTACGAGACCGTGCACCTGAAAAGCCAAAATTCGCACATTTAGAATCGGCTTACATAAACTAAGAAAAATCATGGCGCGTGCCTGATGCCATTGTTTGAAACATATATAATAAAGATGAAGAATGATTAAGACATCAGTCAGGATATAAACCGCAGGATCGGAATGAATCCCTGGCCCAAAGAGTACATTATAGGATACTGATGAGAGTGGATTGATCATTTCGGYTAATCCAAAACGCTGAATGAGTACTAAATTTGCTTTTGGATAAAACCCTTTGGAGTTGTATTTACGATAGTTGTAAAATGATAGTATAAGTGAGAAAGCATGATGGGTTAGATGAAACCATAATATCTTCCGATGAGAAAATACCCGCGTCAGAAAAATGAAATGGAGCCAATATTTTATTTAAAAAATACTTATAAACATCGCACTCATCGTACTATCCTAAGATCATAGGTGTTATAAAAATAGAAACAACCTATTTAGCTATCCATAGAGCAGGTTTGGACACAAATCCAAGTCGAGACAGTGAGCTAAATATAGACAAAATATCCAGGATTGGGATTTCGGGAGACTCGGCTCTGGAATATTAAAGACAGCCGCTGATTGGCTCATGCGTTTGATCAAGCCATAATTAGGACTATTCTAAAAATAGATGTGACCTATCCAGGAGGGTGCTCAGAAGCGGCCCTGATTGCTTTTCAAGAACTATAACGCCATAATAGGGGTTGTTCTAAAAATAGATATGACCTATCCGAAGAGGAGGTGTGAAGTCACTATGAAGGGTATGACGTCATTTYATGGGGCTGACGTCATTGCAAGGGTTGATCCACGATCCACCCTGATCCACCCGACGCAGAACCGCTATTCTGTATACTACTCGAATTTTAAACTGCATCCGGTTGCTAAAAATAGCCCAACCGGGAATATACATGGCGCGCGCGTTATTAAGAAGTTTTTCTCTCTTATTTATGTTCTCTTGTTTTAGTTCATGCAACGGCAACGGCAAAAGAGTATAGTGGATTGATGTACAGACACGAAGGCTTTTTGTGCGATCGATATTGAGGCCTGAACCGGCACCTTATCACAGATAGCCCATCAGATACTTAGATGTCAAAAAAGTCCGTATCCAAATGTCGCAACGTCATCATAGTGCGCAAAAGGATGTAATTTGACAGGACTTTCAAACATATGCCTGACAAATTGACTCCACAAAATGCCAAAGCTCAGAGTCAGTGCCTGAAACTTAAGGCTTATTCTTTCATATTGTCTTTAATACAGTATCCTTTGGTCTCACAAAAGCATACTCGCTAAACTTTTTGTACACTCGGAAAAATCTAACATGAATTTTCTCACTAAAACTCTTCTAAATTCTTAGAAAACATGGCGAAAGTCACGCATGCGCAAACGTTTTTTCTAGTGTCTATTAGGGAGGCTTTGTCGTTCTTCTCCGCTCTACATAGGAAGTATTTTTGTTGGATGTTATAACAGATCAAAATCTGTAGTATTTATCTGTTTGCTAGTTTTTATTTTTCGAAACTGATTCAGTCCTTCTTCTTAATCAACCAGAATCATCGCAGTGGTTGTCTTAAAAAGCGGCTTTACTGGRAAAAAAAAAAAAACTCAAAAACATATGACTTTTGATCTTTATCATAGTTCGTTTTAGCTTCTTCGCCAGACTGCGTTTTGTTTTCATTTCAGTTCTGCAGATGTCTTTTCAGACACTCAAAGAGGTCTTTCTTACAGTTTGGTCTAACTTCTGTAAACATCATCAATTATTAACAATGTTAAGGCCCATTGTTTTACATAAATGTGTCTTTAAAGAAAAAGAATATAACTTTCACATACTGAAAAAACATAAAATATAATTTCCTTTCCAAATTTAGGGTCTAAAAGTTACCTATCAATGAATTGCTTTACTCGACTAATATACACCTATTTCAAAAAAGGTTGTCGGAGCCAAAAGCGATAGGCGACAGGCGTTAAGCGGTAGAAGATAGGTCATTCCAAAATCCTCAGTAGAATAGCCTAGAATGACTGGTTTTTTCTTGTTTTTATTCGGCAGAACGCAGAGCTTGTCGTTGAGATATTCAGTGTTATTTGGCTCGGATACTCTTTTTTGAAATAGGTGTATATATATAGAAATTATTGTATTAGAAAAAAACATGTATGAGTTTTCTGGAAGGAGTGTGTTATCAATTAATAATAAAAAATTAAAAATAGGAAAAATAGGAAAAATATAAAGAATTAACAACCCAAGTATAATTATTGGTTTTGCATTAGGATTCAAAGTAGTGAACACACGTAGTAAATCCCTTAGAAATTCCCCTTCTTTTGATGTTCGTAGTGTAGTGCAGATATTGATGCCTCAAGTTGCGACGTTATGCGAGCTTCCCCGATTTAAGAATTTAATTTTCTTTTTTCTTTTCTGTTACACTTTTTTACATTGATTCTAACAGGAAAAATAGGAAAGTATAGTGAACACACGAAAAACTCTGTTAATTGTAAGTTAGAAATCCCCCTTCTTCCCGTATTTTCTTTTAAGTTCTTTTTTTTTTTTTTGTAATCTTTCTTGCATTGATTCTCAGTTATAATAAGAAGTATAACTTGGAATAAATTATTCTGCTAAGACATTATGCTATAATCCGTTAGATTATAATGCTATATAAACTTTGTGTCATTGGTTGTTATTCATCGGGTTGTAATTTAATGCAGTACGCTATTCTGTCTTTTCCTGCCATTAGAAAGGCGATTCTGATTTTAATTTTTAATAAAACAAGGAAACTCTAAGAATTCTCTCTCACATTTAGTGATATTGAGGTAAAAAAACAATTTATTCACAGTGATTTTCTAACTTTCTTTATTGTTCTCTATCGAGTATTTTGATTAAAAAAAGCTGACTTTCTTTATCGTTCTCTATCGCGTATTTTGATGATACCGTTTGTCTTTGTTAAAACAGTACTTTAACTAACTTACCTATCAAAATCAATGCAATTTGGAAAATTTTCTCCCTCATGTTTTCAACACCTTACGCGAAGTTTAATTTTGTTGATCAATTCCTGCTAGAATTCTGAACCGACTCTATTTTCGTTTTCTACGCTAGTAGGTGGGACTGACTGGATCTGAAAAGTGCGTTCCGTTCAACCTACACCAACGGTAGAGGTTTGAGATCAGATTATTGTTAGAACAAGAACTCGTAAACAGTGCTAGCTATCGTACCTTAAATTGTGTTATCACTTGCGAGGTATGCACAATCACTTGCATGAAAACGAGGTATCACTTACATGAAAACGAGGCTCTAATAACTAATGTCACAGATTAGAACTATTTTTGTTCAGAATATAAACAATTTAAATGGTAAATTACTGCAGTTTTCGATATTCTGCTAACTATGAAGTTGCAAGCTGCACGCTGAAATTAGGGTTTTCGCTGCCGTCAATCAAAAAAAATCAGAGGGAAAAGAGGGACTTTTTACTAAATTCGATTAACGAAATTTTTTACGTGATTCAAATCGTACAACCGAACCCTGTACCAGACAAACTTTCTTCCCAAATTCAAGAGTTGGCCACTTTATTTTTTGAAAGTCTTTCTTCGTAAGATATCTCTGTGCCACACATCAAACTTGTAGCTCTTCTTTGACTTGCCTCAATCAATTTTATATGTTTAACCATATATGGCTTTCACAATAGACAGCAATATTCGAATATTGGCCTGACTAACACTTTCAACGCCGTCTCAACTGCTGTAGGAGACTCGTAACCGAACGTTCTTTGTATCAAACCCAATACACACGCTCGTTCAGTATTTTATGTTACTATTTTAATGAAGCAATAGAAATAAAACTAAGACGCCATCGTGCAGACGTAATATTATGTACATGTTGAAGGCGACTTGCACTAACAGGTCACGCGCTGATCCTACTTCCCTTAAAACGAGCAGCTATGTCAAAATGAACGACATAAATCGTGAAAAGAACACCTCAATATGAGTAGCGTGGCGGAGTTCTAGGTCATAACAAGCGAAAAAGGAGAAGTGGCATTAAATCCAGCACATTTTCCCATCCAAATCCTTATAAAATATTCGTTTTTATATTTTATATTTTATGTCATTTATCCTAAAGTCAACATTATGAGCTGAAACTTCGTGTTCTTACTAATGTTCAGCTGTTCTTTTCATGACTAAAGTTCGTTTTCACACAACTGCTCGTTTTAAGGGAGGTAGGGTCACGTGACCTAGTGGTGCAAGTCGTGTATCGAAAGGCAGAGGGCTCAAAACTACAATATTTTAATTTAGATAATATTAAACATTCTCACATTCGTTGTTTCCTTCATGTACAAGGACATAAGAGCTTAAGTATCAAAGCAATAGGCTTCGCAAACTTAGGTAGTCGAAAAGCGTACAGAAAAGGATTAACTAATGAATTAGAGTTTGCAACAATGGTAGAGAAACATAAAAGTGTTAAAAGAACGTTTAAATGACCTTTACAGGAGAAGCATAATAGACCTATCATAAATGTTATTTGGAAAGGTGGAAAGCAAATTAAAAATAAAACTAAAACTGTTAGTATTGCTTTGGTCGTTTTTCTTTCTCTTTCCAAGAAAGTTCTTGTGTCTCCACCGAGGCCCACGTTAGTTCGTATTTTCTTAGTTTCTTTGCGTACAGTAACAATGATATAAACCCAAAGAATAGAAAGCGTGATTTCGACGACACCAAACACAACCATTATTACCATTGTCATGATTGTGCTAGTCTTGTGATTTGGAATTTGCAGGAGCTCAACTGCCAGAATGGATATCCAGATTAAAAAAACAGCTGTTAAAACTCTTTTTCTCGTTACTCGAGACTTGTAGAGCAGAGGATTAGCAACAGCTACTATTCTGTCGATAGTTAGGGCAAGAACATGCATAATAGATATTCCTATCAAACTTGATGTTAAAGCAACTGTCACTAAAGTGTAATAATTTGGTAATTGTGCGTCTAGAGATAAGCTGATAAACCAGAAGGCAAGAAGTACACTACAAATTGTACCAACAAGAACGTCGCATGTGGCCATGCTTGCAATGATTATATTTGAAGGAGACCTACGAAGTTGTTTAAATGGATCCTTCCATATAGCAGCGATGACAATTGCATTTGCAATTGTGGTCAAAGGCCCTAAAACTGCAAGGACAACTCCTGTGATGAGAGTAATGTATGATTGTAAATCGTGTCTTAAAGCATCTTCCAGCATTAGACTAAATTCAAGTACAGAGGTATTCCAAATACCTTTCTCGGAATCAAAGAACACTGCCATGACTGGTAATGCTAACAAAATTAACAAATAAGACTTGTTTGTCTCTAAACCGGAATATGTTTTGGATACGGATGATCACTGGAGTCTATGATTTATGCATCATTACATGGACTGCGCTATGAAGGAGATATCATATTTTAACTCAGTCTGAAATCCATCAAAACATTTCCGTAGTTTGCTTTGATTTGGTACTTGATATATATACTGAAAATACTGAAAACAGTAATATTTGAAAATAAAACAGCCGTTTAACGCAGGCGTAGATTATATTCGTTGTGATTATGAAGTCATTATTTCTCTGCTCATAAGTAGGTCTAGCGTCCATGAATGAAAATATTGACAGCCTTTGACTGCTTTCAATCATTCCAAAAAAAATCAAGTTGCAAAGTTGGATAGGTATGGCAGGAATTGTTGTGCAAGCTTTTTTCTTTTGACACGAATTCCAAACTTCAGGCCTTTCGATTTGTTATAGAGGCTTCTCGGAATCTCTTTCTTAATCAAAACGTCAAGAACCGTTAAAGTGTATATGACACGAAAACATTCCATCATTTAAAATGTATAGTTTGTTAGTAATAATAAATATATCGTAATAAAATTTGTTTCAAAAGCTTATTTCTTGAGATATTTGCGAAAGTTAATCCCAATTTGTGACGTCATTTTGTCGACACGTACTCTAGATTCAGTAGTAATGTACTAAATATAAATTGTAATTCATATAAATTAACAACAAAAGACATATT